TTCAGGCAGCTGCCTGCTGATTGGCTAATGTTTTGAGCAGCTCCTGGGCTGTTCATGAGCACTTGATTATAGGCTAATCCATAGCAGCTAAACTAATACCTTCCTTTGTTGCTTTACAGCTGTAATCTCTCTACAGAGTAATAATAATTAAAAATAATTGAAAATCAGGAAATAGAGGGAAGGATTTTTAACTGGCTGTGAGAGGAGTCCTTTGCATATTCCTGGATGCAGTGGCACAGTTTGAATTTGCCATCTAGCACACATCTGGTTATGAGAATGAAATCTTAAAATATTAAATGGAGGGAAGTGCCTAATGGTGATTTGTATCTTGTGGTGAAGTATATACGACTTTCATGCTAAAAATGAAACGGAATTTTCATAAATGATATCTAAACAACTATATACAATGTTCATGTGTGGTGGTGGTTCAAAATTGATAATTGTGCTTAAAAAAAAAGAAATAAAAACAGGCAACCCAAAACCTACCACCTTATTTACAGTGTTTAACCCTTACACACTTAACTCTACATGCAAGAGGCATTTTGTGCTGTTTTGTATATATCCTTTTCTTTGAAATAAAAGATGCCCATCCATTGGTTTGCTGCTTCAGTTACTCATTTCCTTCTCCGTGACTCTGTCATACACCAGGTAAAAACTGAAGATACCCAAGCACCACATGAGGGAAGTGCAGAGCAAACATAGCTAAACTTTATGTGGCAAGGTGTAAAGGGAGACTACCAATGTTTCTTTATTTAAAACACTACTAGTTTTAAATTATTTATTTGTGCAATAGTGAATTCACGTAACCTCTGTAGTTGCTTTTTGAAGGGCAACCTTCTCACCCATTTGAAAGACTGGGAGGCAGTATTTGTCAGATGCCTGCTGATTGTCTTGCATGGATATGACCAAACCTGTCTGGACTGGTTACCGATTTAGTTGTTTCTTCTCGCAGATCTGTTACTTGGCTGTGGTGTGCTCCCTTGTGGGTATGGCTGGAAACACTTTAAGGCTGCTCTCCAGTGATACATGCCTAGCTGTTAACCAGTGTTTAGCATTCATCTTTTAATCTCATCTATGCTTGTATTTTTTGGAGCTTTTATTGGATATTCTTTGGCTGCAGATGATGTGGAATTGAGCTGAAAATACGTACAAGTTACTCAACCATCTAACAATGGAATTCTACAAGAGGCCTTTTTTTCTTGTAAAGGTTAACTGTTGAACCATGTTAGAGCTTGGTTTTTTAACTACATTTTGGATAATATCCTAACATACTAAGTAAATACAATTTTGAAACATTGAAATTCAAGCTTCGTCATTCAGTATGTTTTTAAGAAAAAACTGCATCATTATAAAAGTATTCTGATGTGTTCTTTTTTAAGACTACTGTTCTTAGCAATTTTTTTAAAAAAGGTGCTGTTCCTTTTACTCTATTTGCTGTATTTTATGTTAAAAATAAAGACTGCTTTGATGATTAAGAAAACTAGAACAGAAAATACGAATTTTTTTAAGTTACATTTTATGATTACTCAGGTGATGCACTGACGAATTATTTTAAGTTGTCTGAACATTTTATTAATCTGTGAGTGTAACTTTTGGTCATAGGAAGATTAGGATTGGGAATGTTGTAAAAGAAGAACATTTAAATTCTGGGTAATGCTTATAAAATAAAGCATTGTAGTCCAGGAGAGCAAACTACTTGTCTGCCTTAATTTTGATACAGAGGCCTTCTATCCTTGTACTGCATTAACAGAAGACTATCATTAGCTGCTCATCTCTTAGGAGCTTCTGGAATTTTTCAAGGTTAGCAAAGACTTTTCTTACCCCCACCCTCACACCCCCTCCCCCGGCTGTACAATATATATGTCGGTAACAGCATTGCACATTGGTTGTAGGGGATTATATGCATGGGATATGAGTATGATGATCAGTACTCACATGACAGTCTGATACATGCTTTTATAATGTGAAGAAACATGCCTGAGTTCTTGGGAAAAAAGAAGAGAGATGATTTCAAAAACTGCATGTGCGTTATTAGAGTTTTTCGTACATTTCTCCTAACTTCAGGGCTAGAGTTATTATGTGAAACTTATTCTTTTCTGGACAAATATGAAGATACTGTATTTAGCACGAAGAGAACTCTGGAGAGATGTGAAGAGCTCACTTGGAGTTCATCTTTCATCTGACTGGAAATGGTTATGTGATGCGAATATTTTCAAAAATCAAGTAAAGTGATGTTTCAGATCAGTGTTTCTATAGATGTTATATTTTGCTCCCACTAGTGGCAATGCAGTAATAGACAATCCTGTTCAAAAAATCTAGTTCAGTCTGGCAGAAATACATGTCTAAATGGTATTATTGAGAGTCTGTAAATAGAGCTGATGCAACTATTTGTAAAGATTTGTTCGTCTGTTCCTGTGGTGAGAGTTAAAGAGTCATTTAAGCACCATCAGTTACTGAAATATGAGGATTCCAGATTGTTGTGCAGAAGAGAACTGAGATAAAGAAGGGAATCTCACATTAACAGGAAATGGGAATAGGGGAAAAATATTTTTTTCTTATATTGCTTTCTATATTGCCCATATTTTTGTCAGGCTGTGCTAAGTATAAGAAGCTTTATAATTGTAAAATACAGTCTGTCATAAATGTATGGTTTAGAGTTGGTCTTGATATTCAAATTCTTATTGTACCCTAGAATATATATTCATGTCTTATCCTAGAATATTGTGGGTGGGCAGTGCATGAATGTTAAATAATTTCCGTTATGAACAAACTACCCAAAGTAAACTAGGAAGTGATAGGAACCTAAAGCACGTGACCTGCAGTGGGGCGCTGAGGGAGCTCAACAACTGTCAGCTGATGAAGAGAAGGCCAGTTTTATGGCTGCCTAAATGAAACTTGTAGGCAAGTATGGTTACAAAGAGGGTCTAAGTACTTTAATGCTGCGGAATGGCTCTTTTGTGAATTTGGTGAGTTACTTGCATAAAAGCATTGCTGATTTGACCTAGTGTTGGCAATAGTCTTGTGTGTGTGTATATATGTATGTATATACATACACACCCCCCTCCTGAAAAGACAAAATGCAGTTTATTAATGAATTTCTCAGCTTTGTGAATAGAAATGGATCGGGGGAAGATGCAAAAAGAACTATTTAAAATGTGTCCTTTGTGTAATAATTCTCCTGTATCAGTGGTAGAACCATTTGCTTATCTAATGCTTCTGGAAAAAATAAAACTCCTAATTTATTTTCTTTCTTTTTTTGTACACTGTAGCATCTTTTAACTACTGTTACCCAAGTGAACTTCCAAAAGTTTTCAGAAACTTAAGCCATATCTTAGAGGGGAGTAACATATGATGGTGGTGTAGCTTTAGCAGAGCTAAGTTGATTAGCATAGAGCTGATTCAAGATCTTGGTTGATGAGTTTCATTTAGGATATAGCAAGCTCCTTAACTGCTTTCTGCTTTTGAACAATATTATCATATCTAAAACAAGACCACATGGTAGGAAGTAGAATTTAAAAATCCCTATGGGTTTGTTTAGTTAATTCATTTAATAGAAACAGATAGGATTATGTTGTATTTCAACAAAAATATTTAACTCAATTTATTGATTTGATGAAGTAAATTTTCAAACACTATTTTCTTAAATTTTTTATATATTAATGTTCTTATTTTTCTTAATATTTGCACGGGTGGGTGGAATGAATAAAATTATATTGAGGGCAATACTGCCAGTTTTCTTTGAAAAAGGAAGTTTTTTGGAAAGGAGCTACAAAACCTCTTTTTCATGAGCACAAATGGCCTTGAATTAAAGTGCTATAAAAACCCAAGTTCAGTTAACCGTTGTATAAATACAAAGGATGAAGGTCTGTTTTATCTATAGAGAAGAAAAAAGGTATCTTAACACATTCAAAAATTCGTTCAATATATTGAAGTTTTCTTAAAAGTTAGTTGATAGAAAAATCTTGTCTTTAACCCAAGTTATTAAATTTATTTGAGTCTCATGAAATTACACAGTTTTAGAAAGAGAAAATAAATGTAAACTGATGGACCAAGAATTTTTCTTGCTTTATTACAAGAAGAGGGGCTGCTATTTTTAGCTGGAAAATCTCATTACCTGGTTTTGCTGTAATACTACTGTAATAGACCACTGGTGTAAAACTTGTAGTCAGAATATTACTATGTAATATTGTAGATATTTGATCCGAGTAATCTTCACATATGCATGTGTGTGCAGCATACTATCCTGCTTTCAGCTGGGATAGAGTTAATTTTTTCCTTAGTAGCTGGTGCAGTGCTGTGTTTTAGCTTTAGTCTGAGAATAAAGTTGGTAACACACTGGTGTTTTAGTTGTTGCTAAGTAGTGCTTACTGTTAAGTCAGGGACTTTGCAATTCCCCATGCTCTGCCACTGAGGAGGGGCACAAGAAGCAGGGACAGAGCACAGCCAGGACAGCTGACCCAAACTAGCCAAAGGGGTATTCCATACCACAGGACATTGTACACAGTATATAAACTGGAGAGAGTTGGGTGGGAGGGGCTGATTGTGATCAGTTGCTGTTCCAGGACAGGCTGGGCATCTGAAGTAAGGGGTGAGCAGCTGTATTGCTTGTCTGACTTGAGTTTTATTTCTCTGTCTCTTTTTCCTATTGTTATTGTTGTTGATAAAATATTTTTATTTCAATTATTGAACTGTTTTTATCTCAACACATAAGTTTTACCTTTCCCAGTTCTCTCTTCCTCATCCCATATGGGGGGGGGGGGGGGGGGGGCAGCATTGTAGAGGTGAGTGTGAGCAAGCAGCTGCATGGTTGTAGAAACTTGTATTCGCATCTTCTGAGGACAAATAAAATTTAAGTGTGTTGTTAGGTGTTTGGTTTTGTAGATACAGTTTGCTGTAGATACCGTCTTTCTTTAAAACATGCCAAATGCTGCAGTCTTTTTTAAGAATGCTAATATGGTGGTAATATGTTACGTTCACAGTTCTTTCTGAATTTTTTTAAGGGTCAAGATGGATAACACAGATGAGCGTCAGAAAAAAGTCTTTAAAGCACGAAAAACAATGAGAGTAAGTGATCGACAACAACTTGAAGCTGTCTATAAGGTTAAAGAGGAGCTGTTGAAGACAACTGAAGTTAAACTGTTAAATGGAAAGCATGAGAATGGAGATTCTGATTTAAATTCCCCTTTAAGCAATACAGACTGTATGGAGGACAAGAGGGAAGTTAATGGCATAGTGGACTTATGTGTTAATTCTGAAGAAGGAAAAACAGCTTCTGATGAAACTAGCGAAGCCAAAAGCCCTGAAAGTAGGGCAGGCAATGTAGTCAGTGGCATACAACCCAAACCTCTAGCACAGTCTCCAGAGAATGTTACTCCTGAGCAAGGTAAAGATACTGACACTGCTTTAGCTTGTGAGGCTGAAAATGGAGTTCTTGGTAGCAATAAAGATGACTTCCATGAAAAAAATAATACAAAAGATCATTTGGACCAAAGAGAGAGCGATATCCCATTGGAAGGTGAAAGTAAATCAGTCTGTGGTATTAGTGACTCTTTGGAAAATAAGGTAGAAACACATGACTTAAGTATTACTTCCAATTCATCTAGTGAGGAAAAGAGCACTGAAGAAGTAACTGTTGAAGATGCTGTTGGAGAAGAAGCCATCTCTAGCAGTATGGAAGCTGACCAGGAAGCAAAGGACGCACAAGACGGCGCTACAGGTCTTCCAGAAACGACTGTTCAGAAAACAGCAGATGAGCCAAGTGACAGTATCTTGGACAATACTGACTCTATGGAAACAGATGAAATTATTCCAATTTTGGAAAAACTAGCCCCTGCTGAAGACGAACTGGGCTGTTTTTCTAAAAGTCCTCTGCTTCCAGCGGATGATGCAGTCACAGATTTAGAAGAGAAAATAGACAGCTGCTTAGGTTCACCATCCAAGCAGGAAAGCAGTGAAAGTCTGCCAAAAGAGGCTTTCTTAGTATTGTCTGATGAAGAGGATCCCTGTGATGAGAAGGAGGAATGTGCTGAAGCGATACTACCAAATAAGTCAAGTCTTCCAGGTAAGAATTTTCTAAACTGGTAGTTTTAATTCAAGCCTGGGATTTTGTTCATTTCTTAGAATGACACACTTCTGATACATTTCTCAATCAAAAAAGCAGTCTTACCTGCCAGTTGTGTGTGACAGTCTCACAGGTTTCAAGGATAAAATTTGGGGCCCAGAAAAAAAAAATGCACATAACACAGAAACACTGTCATCATCGAGATCTGGTTTGTTTATTTGGTTTGTTGGGTTTTTAGTTGTTTTTTTTCTCATATTCTGAGAACTGGGGTGAGGTGGTAGGTGAAACGAGGAAAGATGAGTAGTTGCCAGATACAGAACAGAAAGATTTCTGAGAAGTTCATGAGCTGTTGTTGAGGTTTAGAAAGGATCTGAACTTTCTTTAATGTGTAAGTAAATAGTAACAGTGAAAACATGTTGATAATCCAGGAATGTCACAAGTGCCATTTGTTTCAAATTTCTTTTTTTCCACCCACGACAGCATTGGAAAGATTTCATTAGGAACACAGTCATGTATGAGTTTTATGCCATATAGCTTTTATTCATTTAACTCACAAGGAATTTTATCTAACTTATTTGATGGCTATGCTAACTCATTAACATTTGAAATCATTAAGTGTAGGAACATGGTACATCAGTCTTTTCATGTAGTTAGTCAAAGATTTTTGTCCTTTTTTTGGTGTTAAACTGAACAATGTCCTTTACAGTCTGTTGCTTCCTGTCCTATTGCTGTGCACCTTTAAAGAGTAGTGGCTTCATTTTCTCTGAATTCCTATTATGTGACAGAAGGCCGCAGTACAGTCTCCAGTTAGTCTTCACCTGTTAAGGCTGAGCAAAGCCAGTTCTGTCATCTGCTCCTTATATAGCATGTACTTCACTTCCTCGACCTTTCTGGTGACCATTCGCTGGATCTACTATGGTTTTGTCAGTGCCTTTCTAGTATTTGGGATCTAATAACTGGACATAGTGCTCCAGATGGGGGTTTCTCACGTGGTGAACAAGAGAATCGCTTCCCTTGTCCTGCTGGACGCATTTCTTACACCCTGAAATGCTATTGAACTTAATTCACATTTCTGAATCATGTTCAGATTGTTTTCCACCAGGAGTTAAGGCCTTTTCTCCAGAGTATTGTTGTAGCCAGTCAACCCCCACTCTGTCCTGTTGCACAGAATTATTCTATCCCAGATGCAGGACTTGGCATTTCTAATTGCTGCACTTTGTGTTAGCCCAATTTCCCAGCCTGCTGCTGTGCCTCTGAACTTCAGCTATGCCTCACAGAGTATTTACCATTCCTCCCAGTTTTCTCTGCAAACCTGCTAAGTGTGACCTCCTGCTCCTAGTAAATACAGTAAATTGCATCAGTCCAGTATGGATCCCTGAGAACTGCCTCTAGTGCTAAGCCACTAGTTGGACTATATACCACTGATGGTTTGAGCCAGTCGTAAGAAGCTACCATCGATACGCAGACAAACTCCACAACTCGTTAAAGTTGTAAAGTAGGTATGCATTTATTCAGTGCTGAGGTGCATGGGGATAGCTTCTCCAAAGCATGCGTGCCTCAGCATCATTTTCCTCTACATTTATCCTCTAAAGCTATACATAGGCATTAGGTTGCTCAATACACCTATACATATTCATGACCTATCCCCGCTTCATATTATAATGTATTATAATGAGCCAAAATGTCCTTGACGTGTGTGCAGTATCTCCTGGTGTTCATTGGGTGAGGGTCTCATGATGAAGTTAGTGAGTTTTCCTCAGCTTGAACTTTTTAAATTTTGCCATTATGCATGCTCTCTAGGGGTCTGCTTAGTGTTCAAACTGCAAGGCCAGTTCTGTCTGGAGCTAAGTCGTATTTCTTCACCTTATCAGTTACTCACGTCCTGGTGTTGCACAGTAAGTGTGATTGATGACCCTTTGCTGTGCGTGCTTGAACAGGCAGTACTTTTTGACTTGAGTAAGCGAGATTCCAACAGACCAGACTGCCAGACCCCCTTGTACACAGTGGGTCTCCAACCCCATGTACAGACCCCCTTGTACACAATGGACTGTACACTATTTAAACCTCTTTATCACCATGTCTGTCAGATGTGATTTGTCTTTACTAAATCCAGCCTGTTTCCAGTCACCTTCCTCTCCTTTGTGTGCCTGACAGTGGCTTCCTATGAGGAGTTTTTCCAAACTTCCCCAAGATGTCAGTTGGGGCCAACCAGCCTTAGTTCCTCCTAATCATCCTTCTTGACTGTCTTGAAAATGGCTGTGGTGTTTCCTTTTTTATAGTCATTGGGAGCTTCCCTTGGTTGCCATGAAGATGGAAGACAGGGGCTTCACAATACCGGCAGTGCCTAACTCCCTCGGCACTCTTGGGTACATCTAATCTGTACACGTGGACTTCTCTGTATCCACCTGGTTTGAGTGTGCCCTAGCTATATCTTGTTGATATAGCACTTTGTTTCTGCAAACTTTGCCAGTCTTTCCCTCGGCTCTCAGAAACCAACGGAAACTTGCCAGTGAGAAATGGAGTCAGAAAAGTTGAGTATCACAGCATTTTCCATGTCCTCACTCATTAGGTTGCCTGTTCCAAAGAGCAGTGGCCCCACAATTTTCATTAGTTTTCCTTCTGCTGCCATTGTAGTTACAGAAGCCCTGCTTGCCCTTCACATTCCTCACTGGTTTCAATTCCAGTTAAGCTTCAGCTTTTCTTATTCCATTACTGCACAACTGGACTATGTCCCTGCAGTCCTCTTAGTTCCTCCTCCTGCGTATTTCTTTTTTACATTGGAACAGTCAGGAGGTCCTTCTTCCCCCATGCTGGCTTTCTTCCATGCTGCCTCTACATTCTGCACAACAAAATGAACAGTACTCTTGGCTTTGAGGAAGCTGTCCTTAAAGAGCAACGAGCTCTTCTGGCTCCTTTTGCTTTTCAGGGGAGCCCTCTTTGAGAAACTACCAGGTAGACCTTGAACTAGGTCAGTAGGTAAAACCTGCTGCCATGAGAGGGAGGACTGTTATGATATTTGTCCGGCTGACTTACTGCAGGATTTTTAATTCCACAGTCTCATGGTTGCTGCAGGTGAACCTTGGTGACCTCTTGACCTTCACATTCCAGATGAATTCTTCCTTGTTTGTGAATAATAAATCCAGAGCGTCTTGACGCATCAGTTGCCTGTGTCAAGAAAATACCTTCTGTACACTCCAGAAACCCCCTGGATTGTGCCAAATCACACAGCACTTCCAGTTAAAGTACGCACGAGTCAGTCCTAAGGCCTGCAGTATTGTAAGATGACTCTATTGACTTCTTCTCCTTGATCAAGTTGAGTGACTTGCGCAACATTGCCTGTGTTGCTTTACCTCCTTCTCCTTGCCAACAAGCACTCAGCTGTCTCATCACCTGTCCCCTGGCAAAGCTCAGGGTGCTCATCTGCATAAAGCACAAATGCTCCTCACCCTTTCCACCCTGTCTTTCGTAAAGAGACTGTGTTCATTGTCTGGAATTCTGTAGTCATTTCAGCTATCCCATCATTTCTCTAATCCAAACAAAATCCTAATTTTGCAGTTGTGTGTAGACTAGTAATTCCTCTTGTTTCGTGTGCTGCATTCATTTACCAATACTTGAGATGATGAGCACTGAGCCATGATGCTCAATTCTGTACCTGTTCAGTAACTGCAGATTTGTGGGTAGAGAGGGAATCTTCATTCTGTTGCTGGAAATCACAGGCTTCTTTATCTCCATTTTGAAAATTTCTATTTGTTATTATTTTGAATATAGCCTCTAGATGGCCCTATTTCCTTGCACTGTGGGGCTTGGGTTTTTTGTCTGTGCAGGACTGAAGTTTATCCCCTCTTTGTCCATTCTACTCATGTGCTCCTACAGCTTTTTTATTTTCTGACTCATACCATATCAAAGAGAGAACTTCTAGTCAAAGATGGGACTGTATTTTAGAATAGGATCTTTCAGCCTGAAAGACGAGATGGAGGGAGAGATGTGGCAAAGATCTGTCTACGGTAAGTGGTAGGGGAAATGGATATTTGCTGTCTTTTCTTCTAGAAGAGCCTCACATACCAAATGGAGGAAAGGGAAAAAGTGAGAGTTAGGATCAAAGCATGGAAAAGATGGTTCTCCATCTGGAGAATTATGGAGCTCCTTGCTAGCAACAGTGACTGCTAGAAGTTTACCTACATTTGTGTTGTGCGGAAGAGGGATTTTTGGGGGGGCTATCACTCACAGAAACCCTATGGCTCTGGAGGTCTTCCACCAGCAATTTTTCAGAAAGTGGAGGAATTTTTCTGAGACTGTGTAAATGTGTTTTTTCTCATTCTGTTCTTCCTTACTTGATCATCTACGGTTGACATGAAAGTGTTGGCGATAGAATCCTGGATTAAGTGAACTGTTGGTTTTACCTGGTGTAGCTGTTGCTATGCTTTGTCTCTTAATCTTTATGCTCTCAAATTTGACCAGCTGAGTGTGTCTGCCAAAAGCAGATCTGAAGTCTCTCTCAGAATTGCTAGCACTTTGAGTGCATTCTGGACACCTTGATTCTAGGCTTCTCCACAGCAATGGCTTTTCATGCCCTCCAGGGATAATTTGAAAGAGAGCTTACTTGTTACTGATCTTTATTAATGGAGTCTGAAGTCAAGCAACACACCCAACTACAACCTTCTAAGAATAAATAAAGCAGTTAACATTTAAAAAACTACAGCTTGTCTTCTAGAAAGTAGTGTTTGAAGAGATCTTCAGAGCAAGTGAATGGCAGATGAACAGCTAAACGTGAACCTTTGTTCCTGTGTTGTGACAAAATTAGTGGTCAAAGTTCTTGAATTCATAAACAGGAAAATGTTAGGCTTAAATGGCACCAATGAAACCACTTTTCTGCAGTCATATTCTTATTTCTGGTTTTTGCTTCAAAAAGGGAAAATTGAGGGCTTCCAGGGAGTTGCTGCAAAAAAATACTTCAGCATTTGAGAAACAAGCCTTATACTGGAAAGCCTAAAAGAATTTAAGTTTTCTTCATCCAATAGAAGATTAAGGAGGTCTCTAATATCTGCAAATGGGAGCTGTATATTCCGCTCATTCTCCCATTGGTGGAAAGATGTTTCTTTAAAGTGGCAAGGACACAACTGCTGCCTTTTTGATCCACTGGATTTTGCAAACTAGAAATTGGGCACACTTCTGTTCTAGGCAGGCTATAAGGAAAACCTTGCAGTTACAAGACTATGGAATAGTAAGAGCATGACTGTGCAGTTCAGAGTAACTTGAAGATACTGTTCAGAAGCTCTTAGGCTTACTCATTATTTTTATTTCCATTTACATGTATATTTTGGCAGAACTGACATCTAAATATGCATCTAGTCAGTCACTTAGCAGGTATCAGTGCTTGCAGCTGTAGAAATTATTAAAAGGTATTTTCAATTGTTCAGTGACAGGCAAACAGTAGAAAACTCAGATCCACAACAAATTGTGTGACTTAAGATAACTGAATTATAAATACAGTAGTAACTTAATTATATAATCAAATTATTATTATTTTTTTAAGGATTGCGTTCATTGCTTCTTCCTGTCTATACCATCAGTATAACGAGATCATAGAATGGTTTGGAAAGGACCTTGAGTTTTAGCCCTCTTGCCATGGGCAAGGACTCCTCACACTAGACCATGTTGCCCAAGGCTCTGTCCAGCCTGGCCTTGAACACGGCCAGGGGTGGAGCGTTTACCACATCTTTGAGCAGCCTGTTCCAATGTCTCAGCACTCTCACAATAAAGAACTTCTTCCTTATATCTAACCTGAAATTCCCCTGTTTTAGTTTGAACCCATCACCCCTTGTGCTATCACTGCAGTCCTTGATAAACAGTCCTTCTCCAGCATCCCCGTAGACCCCCTCAGATACTGGAAGACTGGTATGAGGTCTCCACGCAGCTTCTCTTCTCCAGGCTGAACAGCCCAAACTTTCTCAGCCCGTCTTCATACGGGAGGTGTTCCCAGCCCCCTTATCATCCTCATGGTCCTCCTCTGGACTTGCTCCAACAGACCCATGTCCTTCTTATGTTGAGCACTGCTTATTAGTGAAAAATCTGCTGATAGCCAATTGTGAAATTATCTCCAAATTGTGGGTCAAACCTTCTTGACTAGAGAGGTGTAGCTGTGTATCATGTATAAACTACTTCTAGTTAAATGAGCTAAATTTGGTCAGAATGATGAAAATGTACAAGGAAGAGACTTCTTCCTCTCTGAAATTACTATGTATTACTGCGTAAAACTCAAAAAGCTCAGCTTCAAAACTTGCAACGTGGTTTTTTAGTATCTTTCCATGGAATATTTGTATCCTTCAGTTGAATATTAAAATCTGTGAATTGTGAAAAAAGAGCTCTTGAATTTAATGGCTCTCCTTTAGATTCTTAGGTAACTCCTATTTTATTGATAGCAATTAAATAGAGGAAGCTTGTTTATAAGTTTTAAAAAGCAGGTTATATAGGCACTACGCCACTTTTATTAGCTTAAAACTAAATCAGATCGCTTTTGAAGTATGTATGTGGTATGAAGGTCGAAGGAGGTGATCCTGCCTTTCTTCTCTTGTGAGACCCTACTTGAAGTGGTGTGTGCAGTTCTGGTGTCCTCAACGTAAGAAGGACATCGATCTGTTGGAGCAAGTCCAGAGGAGGGCCATGAGGATGGTAACAGGGCTGGAACACCTCCCTTATGAAGACAGGCTGAGAAAGCTGGGGCTGTTCAGCCTGAGGAGGTGATGGCTGCATGGAGACCTTACAGTATCTAAAAGGGGGGCCTACAAGGTTGCTGGAGAGGGACTCGTCATGAGGAACTGCAGTGGTAGTGATAAGACAAGGGGTTATGGGTTCAAACTTAAACAGGGGAAGTTCAGGTTAGATATAAGGAAGGCGTTCTTTACTGTGAGGGTAGGGAGACACTGGAACAGGTTGCCCAAGGAAGCTGTAAATGCTCCATCCCTGGCAGTGTTTAAGGCCAGGTTGGACAGAGTCTTGTGTGACATGGTTTAGTGTGAGGTGTCCCTGCCCATAGCAGGGGGGCTTGGAGCTAGATAATCTTAAGGTCCTTTCCAGCTATTCTATGATTATTTCTTGCATAAAATTAACAAAATGAAAAATACTATTATTTCAGTTTAGGGGTTTCTGCCACCTTTTTTTCTGATTTCGTAGGTGACTTGTGTAAATGTAAAAAAAAAAATAAAGTTCTTCATTATAGAAACAAAATACAGTGTTGAGAATATCAAGCATATCTTTGTGAATAACAAAATGAAAACAGGAAACTGTACAGATCAAGCTGTGCATAACAGTGCTGACTTGTTACATTCTGGGTAGATTTTAATGTCATCTTAAAAGTTCTAGTTTTATTTTTATCTAGCAAGCACAGAAGGTAACAAATACTGTATGTATGAAACACATAATGGAAATTCATGGAACATATAGTCAAGTTTTCATGAAGAGTTAGCAATTTTCATTTCAGCCTGTGTGGACTTGGGGGTGATAACTTCTGATATTTCTTCCTCTCAGAATTTCCTAAACTGTATGTTTTTAAATGACTAGTCTTAAATTGTGACACTTTGTATTAGGAAAAACACTTTAAATAAAAATTCTAATTTATTAAGAAACGAAGAATCTCAGCCTGTTCTACCATAAGGTTAATTGGTAAAATTGCCAATTGTAAATAGAGCATATTGGTATTTTGTTACTGAATTTTTAATACGTTTTTCCCAGGCAAAAAATAAACTGAAACCATTTATTGAGTACTTTAACTGCATTAAAAATGGACTGTTTCATTGTGTGGTAGTTCAAATTTTTGCTCTGAAGAACAGTGTTCTGTTTTTTTTATTTCTGCATTCCCTGTGTCATACTTATTTCACCTTTCCCAGCGTGATTTTTCAGAAGTAATCTAAGTTCACTAGTCAAAATAGGACTCTATGAGACTTTTGTAAGTCAGCATAATTAATACATGTGGTTTTGTCTTCCATTTGTAGAAGAGGTGGAAAAGGAGACAGGAAAGGAAAGTAAGGAAGATAAAGAAGAGGAGGCCCACAAAGAAGAGGAGAAACACACTGAGAGAAGTACGCAATGTTAAAGCTATTATTCTTTGCTGCTGGCTCGTGTTAAAAGCACAGAATCATTGAGGTTTGAAAGATTATCTACTCCAGACCCTCCACTCAAAGCCAGGTCAAGTAGAGCAGTCCGGGCAGGTTTTGAGTATCTCCACAGATGGTAACTCCAAAGGAGTTCCCCTTCCAGTGTTTGACCGCTCTCACAGTAAAAATGTTTTCATACGTTCGAATGGAATTTCCTGTATTTCAGTTTGCATCCATTTCTCTCATCCTTTCACAGGTACTAAGAGTCTTGGTCTGTCTTTTTTCACTCTCCACCCATCAGGTAATTTACACACATTATAAAATCTTCCCTAACTGCCTTCTCCAGTTGAACAATGCCAGCTATCATTTCCTCATGTGCATGTCCATAAAACTTCTTGGTGGCCCTACGCTGAGCTCCAGTATGCTCACATCTTTCTGGTATTTAGAAGCCCGGAATTGCACACAGGACTCAATTTAGTCTCATAGCACTGTTTAGAGTGGAATAATTACCTCCCTTGACCTGCTGACGATACTTTTCCTTACTCAGCCAGGGATCTTACTGGCTTTCTTTGCCAGCAGTGCGCATTGCTGGCTCACATTCAACTTGGTATACATGGAGACACAAGGGCCTTTTCTGCAAAGCAGTTTTCCAGGCAGTCAGTTCCCAGCCTGTACTAGTACATGGGTTATTCCTACCCAGCTCTAGGACTTTGCAACTTAATGAGGTTCCTGTTTGTCTATTCTTCCAGCTTGTCAAGGTGACACTGAATGGCAGCATAACCATTTAGCATAGCAACCACTCCTTCCAGTTTTGTATCGTCTGCAAATTGTTGAGGATGCCTTCTGTCCAATTATCTAAGTCATTTATGAAGATGTTAGTGTTGTTACCAGTTTAATCTGCTGCTGTACATTACTAGCAATGAGCTCCAACTGGACTTTTTGCCACTAATCACAGCTGCAGTTGAGCCAGTCCATTTATCTAGGCCATACATTGTGAGTTTGTCTCTGAGGATGTTTTGGGTGTCAGAAGCATTGCTAAAGACAAGAGAAACAGCATCCACTGCTGTCAGCTCATCCACCAAGCCAGTTCTCTCATTATAAAAGGCTGTCAGGCTGTTGAAGCATGATTTCCCCTTGATAAACCCATTCTGACTATTCCCCATCACCATTACCTTAATGTGTTTAGAGACAGTTTCTAGAATTACTTGCTTCATCATGTTCCCAGGGATTGAGGTGAGGCTGACCTTCTCTAATTCTCTGGGTCCTTCTTGCCTTTCTTGAAGATTAGAAGAAAGTAAATGTCACTTCTGTCCTCAGGAACCTTCTGCTATTGCCATGACCTTCCAGAGGTTGAGAATGGCTTTGCAGTCACCTCAGGCAGGTCTCTTGGCACTGGTGAGTGCATCCCTCTGGCTTGGGTGGACTTGCGTACGTCCAGTTTGTTGCCTGCCTTTGCTCCAGCCAGTCCCACTGGTCTCAGGGAGCTGGCATTGCTGAAGACAAACATCACTGAAGTCTGAGGCAAAGAAGTCATTGAGCACCTGGGCTTTATCTGTGTCCTTTGTCACTTGCTCCCGTGTCTCATCCAGCAGGGGGAACATATTTTCCCTGATTTTTCTTTTGCTGCTGGTGTGCTGGTAGAAACCCTCTTGTTGCCCTTCACATCCCTTACCAGATTCAGCTTAAAGCGAGTTTGGCTTCCCTAATGCCATTCCTACCCACATAGTGCCTTTATCTTTTCTCACTGGTCACCTGTCCCTTGCAGATGGGGGCCTCCATCCCCTGCAGGCAGGGAGTCACTTGCTGCTAATACGCAGTGCTACTGCATGGCTCAGGCTTAGCCCGTTCAGTCTTTTCACTGGGCACAGCTCCCAGTCCCGTATCTGTTACGAGGGCACTTGAACCAAATCTGTCATTGTCCTTTGCATCCACAGGCAGAGCAGGAGCTGCTGTCTTCGTGTTTTCAGATAGGAGTCTCCATTTCCCATGTGGATAAGCTCAGACTCTGACTACTTTCTTTGGTACAGCTAGGGGTTGCAGTTCTTGAGGCTGCAAGGTCTTGGAGTATATCCAGTCAGTCTCATGATTTTTGATTCTGTGCCATCCCCTGACTGCCTCCCATAGCTCCTTTAGCTTGGCAATGCAGGTTTCTCGCTTCTTGCAACATCTGTAGCCAAGAAGCTCATCTTCCTCTGCCATAACTGCAGCCAGACTGGGAGGCCCTAGATAAGCTCTGCAGCCCAAGACTTGCAAAGCCTAATCTTCCCCCAAAATAGCTCAGTCTAGGTGGAGGCTCTGATTTTACTGTGAGAGTTGTTCCAGTGGCTGCTGGAGTACACACTGTGTGGCACATAACCACCATTACTGAATGCAGGGACCATCCTCTTTCTGTACACCCTGCTGTACAAAGTCCTGTGTTAGCTTCTCACTGGGAGCTGCACTTGAGGCTCAGCAGTAATACAGGTGTGCGTCTCAAACCTGCTGAAAGGGTGTTTGAGTCTCCATAAGGAATCAGCTGGGATGCAAGCACAAAGCACCCTTTGACCAAGAAGAGCTGACACAGCTCATTAGAACTTGCTGGGAATTCCTAGAAGTCACAGCCTCCTTTAGATAGCCTTTCCTCTAGTAGCGAACACCCTGAAGCTCTCTAAAGAGAATCTTAACTGCAGTAAGATCAGATAGAGCATCTGCTTCAGAACAAGTTACCTGAATATTAAACATGTTCCCTTAAGTATGTAAGTAGCTCTTTGATGTTACAAATTACTTGTGCCATTCAGAATTAAGACTTTTCTAGAGAGACTGACTGGGAGTAGGAAAGAGTTGTATGAAAGAGCCTAATAAACGTCTTCAGTAGTCTGGGCATAGTGTTCTAACTATTTAGTTTTTCTTTTCTATTTCTACAAGTTTTTCTAATGGATGAAAGAAAGGTGTAAATGTAGCTCTTTTTCTGTAATGCCATGGAATAGTGGAAAATGAAGGGAAAAATAAATATTAAAAACTCATACCTTAGACATTTATAGTGCTTGCAAATACTCAGCATTCTGCAAATATTTATGAATTGCCGCCCTGTGGTACTACAAAAATTACCTAAACTTTGGGGCCCTATGCTTTCATAAACTTTAAAAAATAACCTAGGTTGACATGCAGATTTTTTAAATCATTTTCAGCACATTAATGCTTTTCTAGTGCAGTTAAAAATATCAAAAATCAGATCAGACTGGAACTAGCAAAATTTAACCATCAAAAAATCTAGACTAAGAGAAAACAGTTACAAATATGACTCAGAGTATATGTAATACAAGCAAAGAAAAAAATTACGGCAGTGGAAAGTAACTATTTGTCATGCTCTTTCAGTTTCTAGCAAATCTTCATTGATGTACTACTCATTCTGCCTTTATCATCCTCAGGTTTGGGGTGGAGGGGTTGGGAGCTATGGTCTTTGATGTTTTGAGAGCAGTCAGGTACCCACAGTATGCTCTATAACTTCCCTTCCTTGTAATTTCCATAGGCTTAATACAGTGTCAGGAGGTGGAGGAGTTAACGAGGTCTCTTTTGTGCTTCATTGCTGTGATGGAAATTACTTTTATGATATAGCTCTGATATGAGCCTTTTCTTTTGTTAGATTTTTACTTTCCTTCTTACCCAAGAAGTAAGAAAAAGGATTGAATGTTATTTTCAGTCAGGGACTGGAGATGCAGGGTGAACTTTTATGGCAGGTGGGGACAAAGGTTTATTGCTGATGCAGGCAGGATCAAATGTAGGTTATTTTATCTGGAATCCTGAGGAGAGGATTCTTTTTGCAGAAGAGGATTTTGTTTTGTTTCTGGGAAGCCATGTTTCATTACAGAATGGTTGTGATAGGAGCAGGAAGAGCTGGAGGCAAGTTCTGAAGAAGGGAATAGTGGTATTAGAGCCATTTTACATTTGGGGCAGTAGTTTGGTGGTGAGTCACAAAGCGGAACTCACAGGGAGGCCAGTGTACAAAGACCAAAGGGACAGCGTAATGCTTTGATTTCATCAAACATCTTGGTTTTCTAGAGATGTTCTTACAGGTTTTGGATGAAAAAGCTTGAACTGGGGACAAATAAGCTTCCTAATAATCACAGCATTCTGCAGATAACCCATTTTTTGAAAGGTTCCTCACAAGTAGTTGCATCTCATTGTTCCAGGTGAAGTGTCAAGGAGAAAGCGTTCCAGATCTGAGGACATGGATAGCATTCATTCTAAACGTCGTCGATATATGACAGAAGATTATGAAGCAGAACTCCAAGTAAAAATTACAGCCAGACAGGATGTTGACCAAAAATTACAAAAGGTAGAATGGAGGTGTAGAGATGGCAAACGCATCTGCTTCCCACCCCCTCTCCCCTCCAACACTTTTTCTGAAGTTGAGAAATTTGGCATAATTCAAGTAACAAAGGTGTCTTCATACATATGGAGTCCTATATAGCCCTACTTGTAAGAGACTAAATATTATTTGGAAACTATGCTGCAAGAATTACATTTGAAATGTGTGAAATATTTAAACTCTTGAACTCCATCTTAGAGAGATTTCAGTGTGGTAAAGGTTTCTATGTGCTGCACTTTATTGTGTACCTAGCTTTAAAACCACTCTGTTTCCAAACAAGAGTGCAGTCGCCATTGTGTCTTGCTGATTTTTAGAGCTGTTAATTGCCTGTTTGCACCATTAATATGTAAAGAAGCCTATGGTCTTGAAGAAAAGATTTTGTGTCCTTCTTCCATTAGTTAGCTAATGCATGTTGTAACTTCATTAATGTAAGATGCAGAAAACCGAACCATGTTTGTTTTGTTTCCTAAGGAATTTTTTTGCACTGCAGTAGGTATGGGAGGGGGAAAACAAATAAATAAGTGCATTAGGTAAACTTTATGGAAATCAGTCTCTCTCTCCTTTTTTAGCTTCTGATAAAAACCCAACACAGCATTTCTGCTAGGGAAAATGCATTGCAGAAATGAAGTTTTGTTGCATGGCATTAGTTTCTGTTCTTTGAGTGCCAGTGTCCCTCTCAAAACAGAGGAGTAATAGGAAAAATCAGTCTTGTGTAAACACAGCAGTTTATGGAAAATATCTTCTCTTGTTAAGGTTCTTTTTATGTGTATAAGGTTTTATACACATCGTACTGCAGTTAAATTAATTTATTGAATTGATGGCAAAGAAGGACTAGTTGTATTTGCCAAAATATATGTAGAAACGTTTCTTAGCTGTGCAGGCGTATGCTTACTAGTGACTACAGATTTATTCGATTTGCAGGGCACAACTGTTGTCATTGTTCTGTTTGTAGCAGGGTACTTGTTAAGAATTGAAAGTATTTTTATAGATAGTCTCCCAAATTCTGGGATTGCATTGTTATTTTTCTTCTTTCTTTATATAATAATTTTGCAGGTTATCCAGAGACTATTAGATGAAAAATTTACTGCTTTACAGTGTGCTGTGTTTGACAAGACTCTGGCGGACCTGAAAACACGAATAGAGAAAGTAGAATGTAGCAAAAGGCATAAAACGGTGCTTACTGAACTACAGGTGAGTGTGTGTTGGACTGTATACTGTAGTCAGATTTAAAACTAAGGTCCTCAGCATTTTATAGTAAGTCTCCTGTAGTTGTCAATAGGGAAGTTATTTTGACCCCCCAGAGAGAAAAGGATGGGGGGAAGCAGCAAATACTGATGTTGCTTTTGAATTGTAAAATTCTGTTTTCCTACTCAGAAAGAAGAAAGCAACCAATTAATCATCAAAAAAAGAATCCAAAGCAAATATTCTTTCTGGCAAACTGTTACTAAACTGCTTTTCCACTCTTCTGTTACATTTAGACATTCTTCAAATAGGTGTTAAATACCTTATACCTCTATAAAACCAGAAATTTGCTTAAAATCAGAAAAGCTGCAGGTAGGAGAAGACAGTAGCACTGGATTTGTACAGCGTTGAAACAAAGAAACATCGCATGCTACTTGTCCATGTTATTTCCCCAGAAACTAAATAATTACATTCTAGCAAGGAGGCAAATAGCTAGTGTTGAATGCAGTATGGTTTCTAACATTCTTTATAGAAATTATGTAGATAGTGGTGGCATGAGGAACATCACAAATGTAAAAGAATTTTGAAGTGACAGTTAAAAGCTTATGTCATAACAAATTAAAGCAATAAGGCCATTTTACCTTGAAGATAAAAAAAAAGTATAGAGTTTGCCAGACCAGTTTGTACTACATAACTCTTCCCACTCACCACCCCAGACGTTTTTTAACTTGAGATGCTTTCAGTGTAGTTGTGTATCAGTGTCTTTAGCCATTAACTGCAGTGCCAAATTAATAACATTGTATAAGGCTGCGGATGTGTTGCTGTTACTGTACTTGCAGTCTAAGCTCACGTGGTTTTATTACACAAGGTGTTCCAAAACACCTCTATGTTGTAGAAGAACAGAAATTGAAATAAAATGTAACTAAAGGCACGCTATAATTGTAGCTTGTGATGTTCCTTTGTAAAAATGTGAAAGAGGTGAGGTTTCTGAATGGACCAGCTCTTTTTAGGTAAGAAGTTCTGAAATTGTAGTATGTTAAAGTTGCTCTTTTTAAAGAAAAAACAACTTCAGTTCTTCTAGTGTTAACCTAGTGTTTTCAGGAGTTTGTAAAAAGAATTTAACTCTTCTGTGCAAACTAAAAAAAACCCCATAAACAAGTACATGCTCAGAGCAAGGGCACAACTACTGCTTCCAGAATAAGTCGGCCATCAGGGCTGCAGTGTAGACAGCATTAATTATAGAAAGCATGGTCACAAAATGGTATATTAAGGGAAGCACAAGAAGTAAATGCAAGATGTAAGAATGGTGCATATGAATGTAATGAACCTGAGACCTGAGCATCAAATAGAGTAGAACAAACCTGAGAGTAGGGTATGTGATACAGCATATGTCAGTGAGAGGGAGGAATAGGATAAGTGGGGGAAGAATAAATAATATGAAAGATTAAAGGGGTTACATTTTTCAATACAGTTGGAACGTAAGATGTTGAAATAGATGCTTTCAGTTGCTTTCATTCATGCAGAATATCACATGAACCTTTGCAGGATGGGTTCTGTTTGTGCAGTTGTGAATAGGACAGTAACTTGTCTTTATCTTGACTGGTACACGTGTGTCTTTTTGCTGCTCTTAAGTTATATAGTTGTACCGTGTTTCAGTGGAGGAATAATTTCCCCTGGTATGAATACAGCCTTCGACTTCATGTTTTAATTATATATCTTCTAGTTCGTATAACTTCTTTGATGGTTCTTGGGGAGGATACTTACGGTTTTGTTTGCTTGTTTTCTTCTTTTTCCCATTTAGGCTAAAATTGCTAGATTGACAAAGCGGTTTGGAGCAGCCAGGGAGGACTTGAAGAAAAGACAGGAAGTAAGAACTAGATTTGTTTGTTTATTTTTGACTTAGCTTTAACCTTGTGTTGAAAAATAAGGAAACTTTATATGCAGAAAGATGTGACCTCACAAAGTAGGTTTGTTTTGTTTGGTTAAAAGCAGTGATATAAAAGAGTATCCTTTTAGTAGCTGTTATGTAATTCTGATTTGTACAGAAGGTTCTTTAGGCATTAATAGTGTGAAAGCACCTTAAACTGTATGTAATTAACTCTAATTTACTTCAGTAAATAAGTAAATAAGCATGAATCCCAGTACCCTGATTTTGGGGATAGAAGGGTACAGTTTGTCACCCCATACAATCAATAGCATTTGTCTGTGTCTGGAATAAATATTTTAGGTTAATTACTGTGAAGAAGTGGAAGCTTAGAAGTCCATTAATTTTCTCAGAAGTTCTTATTCTCATCATATAAATACCTGAAGGAAGAGACTTGCAAAAAAGGGAGGACGTAGGAGAGGACCAAGGAGGTTTAGGGAGATTTAAAACATGTCAGCTTCTCCTGCAGTGTTGTTTCTAGAAAATTTCTATCTCACACAAATATGAATGAAGTATAATGAAATGTAATGAAAGCATAAGTTTACAAGCTGATTTACGGTTATTTTGTTCTGGCTTTCCCTTCCTTCCCCCACCACCTTCCTCCTCCTTCCCTCCTCCCCCCCTCCCCCCGCTTTGTTGTTTGTTTTTTTGTTTTGTTTTGTTTTTTTTTGGTAGACTTCACCAAATACACCTGTGTCTTCAGCAAAAACAGCAAGTGACACTGCAAACACAACCAATGTGATATATCGGTAAGCAAAACACATCATTGTGCCCATGTAAGAATTACAGCAGAACACTTGAAATACCTAATGTAATGAATAATCCTTGTATTTTCAGTTTGGTTTTTTGCTGTTTTTTTCTTGCGGTATTTTTTAGTTAGTGTTCTTCCATTTCCTTCATTATTCCTCAGTTGTAAAATTCGGTTTTCTTTCACAGAAGTCATAAATGGACATTTTTGAATCCATTCTTAGGTGAACAGAGATGAGTGTTGTTTCAGCAGCTAAAATATAATGGGTAAAATGGAAGTTTAATTTCAAGGATGGATCATGAGGATGGTAAGGGGGCTGGTCACCTACCATATGAAAGCAGGCTGAGAAAGTTGGTGCTGTTCAGCCTGGAGAAGAGATGGCTGTATGGAGACCTCATAACAGCCTTCCAGTAAGGGGGCCTACGAAGATGCTGGAGAGGGACTCTTGATCAGGAACTGTAGCGATAGGACAAGGGGTGATGGGTTCAAACTAAAACGGGGAAGTTCAGGTTAGATATAAGGAACAAGTTATTTACTGTGAGAGTGCTGAGGCTCTGGAACAGATTGCCTAAGGAAGTTGTGAATGCTCCATCCCTGGCTGTGTTCAAGGCCAGGTTGGACAGAGCCTTGGGTAACATGGTCTAGTATGAGGCGTTCCTGCCCATGGCAGGAGGGTTGGAACTAGATGATCTTAAAGTCCTTTTTAACTCAAAACCATTCTGTGATTCTATGAAGGGAAAATTCTCATAATGAAAGGCAAATGTAGTGCAAGCACTTGAAAACTTACAAATAATTCTGCATTTATTTTTTTTTTTTTTAGTAGGGGAATATTCAAAGCTAATTTGCATGGAAGCATAAAATAAATGGGTTTAGAAAATCTTAATGGAAAGAATAGCAGTAAAATAAGGGGTTTACACTGTACTGTTCATAATTATACCCACTGTGGCTTACTGAGAAATGCTAACTGAAACTTTGTTCCTTAGAAATGCCAACACAGTGAGGCAGATGCTGGAGACAAAGAGGAATATAGGAGAGAGCACACCAGCAACTTTTCAAGCCCCTGTGAATGCAGGTTAGAACCTATCTATGGACTACAAACACACTTCTCTTCTTAAAAGTTTTCTAGCTTTCCATTAAATAACTGACTGAACACAGCAAAATTGGTATTTATGACTTCTTATTTTCTAATATCAAAAATCATTATTTTAAGTTCCTTATCACATTCCCAGTTTACATTCATGTAGTCTGCTTACCAAGTAATGGGAAAAATGTATTGATTTGGTCAACCAGAGCATGTGGGTAAATTACATGCTTCAGCAAACGGCAGTCTGGGTATGGCAGCAAAACTTCCAGTCTCTCAGCTGCTGAGAAGTGAAACGTGTGGCTCACGGGCCAGTATTTTGTACTTGATCATAAGATGCTGATCTTACCCTCTGCCTAATTGCTACTAGAAATTGAATGGGGAACTAAAGGAAGTCATAAGCCCCATTTCTTAAGGGAGTAAAGTTAATTTTAGTTTCTAATTAAAATTTTATGGGGAATGTAGAATCAAATCCACTATGAATTATATTCATGTTAATCCTTGGTTTGAAGAATAGTTTAGCTAATATTGAATACTGAATCTTTTCCACTGAATCTTTTCATAGTAGGCATATACTGACTTTCTGTATTGCATTGTTCTTATATTGTATTGTTCTTGTGATTTAATCCTGAAATCTTGTTTCTCAAAAGTGTCTTCTCTCACACATTCTTGGTTTCAGTAGAATTTTCTGGGTACAAGGTCCTTCCTATACAAAGTTAGTTGGTCATAACTAACACGAGTGTTTAAAACACTATATTTCATGTATTTTCTACAATTCATTTTTTGAGCTTTCTTTGAGCATGTTTGTGTCATAGTTCTTTGTAGATCCTTTTTTTTTTTTTGCTATTATATATAGTTTATCAAACAGGAGCACAATATTAATTGTGTCTTTAACTAGACCATTGAGTATCAGAGCGTACATCAGAAAAAAAAGTATAGCATTTTTGGGCAAAAAAGAAGTTAATAATATACCACGTTTTTTATAGAATCATTTGGGCTGGAAGTGACCATTAATTAAAGATCGTCTAGTCCAGCCCTTCTGCCACGGCCCAGGACATCTTTTTTGTAGACCAGGTTGCTCAAAGTCGTGCCCAGCCTTACTTTAACACTTGCAATGATAGGGCATTCACAACTTCTCTGGAAAACCTCTTCAGGTGACTCACCACACTAATCATAAGTCATTTCCATTTGCTGTGTTGGAGCGAAACTTCCCACTTGATTCAGTGACTTACATTTTGTTGGTTTTGGGATTTTTTTTTTTGTTTTCTTTGTGTAGTGCCAGCTTCCAGTCTTGCTGCTCCTCCAGCACTTGTCAGTGGACATCCTAAGCCTCCAGTGACCTCTACCAGCAATTTGACAACAACAGTTCTTCCCACAGCTAACACAGCTGCTGTTGTAGGCACCAACCAAGTGCCCAGTGGCAGCACTCAGTCAGTGTCTGTCTCGTTGCAGTCTTTGCCTGTAATCTTGCATGTACCTGTGGCGGTATCATCCCAGCCTCAGCTCCTGCAAGGCCACACAGGAACTTTGGTCACTAACCAGCAGTCAGGCAATGTTGAGTTTATATCCGTACAAAGCTCTTCTACAGTTGGTAGCCTTACCAAAACTACAGTGTCTTTGGCATCAACTAACCCAACTAAACCAAATAACAGCCCATCTATGCCCAGTCCTAGTATTCAAAGGAACTCTCCAGCCAGTGCTGGGTCAATAGGCACAACATTGGCAGTACAGGCTGTTTCTACTGCACATCCTGTTGCCCAGGCCCCAAGGACTTTGCCCACAGTGGGTACTTCAGGACTTCATAATGCTACCAGCAGTCGAGCTCCCCTACAGATGAAGATTCCCCTTTCTGCATTTAGTAGTACAGCTCCTGCTGAACCACCTGCCGTTACAGCGCCCAGAGTTGGTAAGTTATGTTTGAATGTTGACACTGGGAAGACAAAAAGGGAAACACCAAACTGCACTCCGGTGGAAATTTATTAGTGTATTTTACTGAGATGCTGCTTCTGGGTTGCCTTTCTGTTGAAACTGTCATGATCAAAATCATATCTGTCATAAAAGTGTTTCCAGCCATTTTTTAAAACCGTGTCTCCTTAGGAGGAGTCAGCAGTGTAGCTCTGTAAGCTTTGTTTTATTTAAGAGCTTTGTTTATATAATTTCTAGCATGAAGTCGGACACTCCTACCATAAAACAACTCAATACTTGTTTTTAATACAGTCTCTCGAAATAATCTAAACAAAGACATACAGAAATGGAAGTATAATTTTCACAACACTTAAAAGTAAACAAAATCTGAGGGGAGAAAAACTCAACTGAATACTAACCTAGTCCCAAAGTATTACATTTATTGAATTTAAAGTAAAGTCTCTGAACACAGTGTTCAAATTGTGTTAATATATACTGTTCAAATAACAGTATAGAGATTAACTATTTTAAAATACTCTTCATCTTCAGCCATGCCGTGATGATTCTCTGGTCTTCTGATTTTGCATGCTATGAATTTTTTTTTTCTAAGGGGTCCTCAAGATTTGAGTTGGAATTATAGCAAGTTTCTCATTTTCAGGATAGAATGTTAAAATTAACTCAAGCAGAGCTTGACATCAGAACTAGTTTTAGTTGATTTTACCATCTCTAAATTACCTGTATTAAAACATGCCTTCCATAGAGTTGGATAGTTACAGGCCTTGTATTGATTTTTAGCTCTAAAGCTAATACAGTGATACAACACAATGTAAAAAGGATTGTGACATGTGAGGCACAGTGACCAAAGGGCCTGTGTGTCTAAAAAACATGTCTCATTTTATGCAGTTCAAATAGCCTTAGTGTATACCCTGGTAGTTTTCTCACCAGAATTGAAACACTGCTTTGGGTTAGCACTGTTGCTGATAAACTCTGGTTAAAATTAAAAGGAATGAGAACGGAGAATTTGGATTTAAATGTTTACATAAAATATTTAAGCAACTTCTGTTTAAGTTGTTAGTTTAGATGTACGTTCGACTGAGCTAATAAAGGTACTTGGTCTCCCTGCACAAATTGTCTCAGTTATGTATTTTGCTGTCTAACCATCTGTTGTTCAGTCAGTTTTCTGTACAAAAAATGTTGAATAATTGTAGAACTTTTCATTTTAGTATCTTGTCAGTTTACATACAGAGAGAGGAGAGCTTGTAGTTATGCTTTGTCCTCAGTAGGCAAGGGAATTGTTCACAAAATGTTTTGGATGCATTGTCAGACTTCCAAGGAAGGGAACATACACTGCTTTTAGGTTGGAAAGTGCCATTTTGCTTTTCTGTATCTTCTGTTCCTTTTGAAAAATGGCAGTAATCAAGCTTGAATACTTAAAATTGAAAATTAGAGCTGTAAAATAAGCCATGTACTAGGTGTTTTGTATCAAACGGTTTTGAATATTGCCTCCAAATTTGTGTAGTGGATAGCAGTATTTAGTACTGATTAGATACTGCAAATGAACAATTTCTTGACCCCTCAGAAAACCAGACAAGCAGGCCACCAACAGATACTTCGGCAAACAAGCGAACTGCTGAGGGAACACCACAGGTAGGTTATTGATTGTTTCTATATAAAATTCTAAAGTTACAATCCACAGGAGAAAAGTTCTTTACCTTTATTGTTCATAAGGAAACAATTTTAGTTTCTTTTTTTGTGACATCATTTCTAGTTTCTGTCCATTTCTAATTTTCTTCTTCTGATCCAGAGTATTACTTGGAGCATCTGCTTCTGATAATCTCAGAAGTTTTTTTCATGGAGTTCGGTAAATAGATGAGTTAGTAATTCAGGAGCACACTAAAAACTGTCTGATGAAACCAAGCCAACGTAAAAAAGAAAACCCTGCCCAGTTTTTGTCTTGAGTAACTTGAGCTTAAAGCTACAAATATTTTCTAAATTACTTCAGCTCTCATTTCCGTCCTAATCCAGAACCTAATAAGAATTGGAGTTCTAATATTTCATTCCTGTATGTAAAAAAAAAAAAATGCAAGGAAGCTTTCTTCAAGAATAACTATTTCATGGTAAAGGAGAACTTGCAGTATTTCTGGATTCCTCATGTAAAATTTGTTGAACTTGCTTTGAAATTTAAAGGTTAAAGTTAAGATATTTAAAATTATTCATCATTAATTTTCTTTGCATGTACAGATACTTTACAAAGTACCTCATACCTACATTGTTGTTAACCTGAAGTCATTTTGTTAAGGGGAATAAAATTAATTTATTCTAGCTAAAATTTCCACATTTAGTACTGTTTCAAGGTACAGGTAAATCTGAATTGTATTTCAAAGCAAGAAGAAAATATACTAGACAAGACTGGTTTTCACCTGTTGCAGAAATAGTCTGGCAAAGATACTGTGCCTCACTCTGCCTTTTTATTAAGGCATTTCATAACGAATGGTTGTTTGGAACTTCATTTTTTCAAAGATACCTGTGGATTATAGCTATTAAAACATTTGTCAGTACTTGAGATGTAGGAAATTCAATACCAGAAGGGACGACAGATGTATGGTTTTAAGATTAAGATTTAATTTTCAGTATATTTTGGAAATTTTCTTCTTTGGTAGAGCCTGAAACTTAGAAAAGATTTTGGAAAAACAGATTGTGTGTGAGAATGGTATTTAGCAATGGAAGGTGAGCAAGGAGGAGGGAAAAAAGACACGTGATGCTGTCCGGGTTTCAGTATTCTGTTATAGCATATGTTTCTAGGCTTGCTTTCAGTCAAATCAGTTAAAGCATGTGTAATGCCATGGTTAATAAAGAAGGGCCTGATGCATTTTAATAGGCTATTGAAGTATGGAATTGATATGCCGTATCATTTGAAAAATTCAGTTAATGCCACCTGCTTTTTGTTACGTAAAATGCAAAGTATTATGTATTACTCCGCACTTCACAGCTCTCAGATCAAAAAGTAGTTCGCTGTATGCCGTATACTTGTGGCATATTTGATGGTACAACTTTGATCAATTGTTTCGAAAAGCAGTTGAAACAGGAGGAGACTTCATCAGAAAATAAAGAAGCACAGACGAATTTTAACTTCCCCGAGGATGTCCTCTTTGGCTTGGAGGAAGAGGAAGAGGATGCTAAGAGCATAAAAAACACCCACAAGCAGACTGGCTGGGCAGCTAACCTATTAAAACAATGGCTGGCCAAAAATGGCAAGGATCCTAGCTTTGAATTGGTCCCAGTAAATGAACTCAATGATATCTTAAGAGAGTTTTATTACACAATAAGAAATCATGATGGAAATACCTACAGTGTGGCAAGCTACAAGTCAATGCGTGCCGGTTTAAACCGGCATCTCAAAATGCCACCTTACAATCGTCAGATTTGCTTAATGAAGGACAAAGAGTTTGCTAGTGCAAACATGGTATTTGTGAGTGTGCTGAAGATGCTGCGCATGCAGGGAAAGGATGAGACTCACCACCATCCTCCTATAGCTGCAGAGGACTTGCGTAAGATTAAAGAATCTGGTGTGCTGGGATTGCACAGTCCACTGGCACTCGTCAACAAGGTGTGGTTTGATTTGCAGTTGCATTTTGCCAAACGAGGGAGGGAAATTTTAAGAGATCTGGCTCCAGATGCTTTTGTTGTTGAGAAGGACAAGAATGGGCGTCGATATGCTATGTTCAGGTATCCCAGCAAAGGAAAAAATGGAGAAGATCCTCATAAAATGGGTAAAATGTATGATATGCCAGGGGACCCAAACTGTCCTGTTTTTTCATTGGAGCTTTATTTGTCTAAGTTGCCTCCAGAGCCCCCTGCCTTTTACCTGCATCCTTTAAAGTTAACATCAGAGCAAATGCAAGAACAGCCTGTCTGGTACAAAAGAGAACCAATGGGTGTGAATTACTTAGGTACCATGATGCCCAGGATAAGTGTGGCAGCCAGGCTTTCTCAGCGATACACCAATCATTCTCTCCGAACTACCACCATCCAGCTACTGTGTGAAGCAGGACTGGGGCCTAGAGAAATAATGGCAGTGACAGGCCATCGCTCTGAATCTGCTATTAGACACTACTGGGGAGCTGCGGAAGTTCGCTACAGGGCTTGGTCAGATGTGATGGAGAATAATGCCCCCAGTTACCTTTATGGTAAGATCCCAAATGAAGTGATAAAAGAGCCACTATCTGGTGCATCCACCTCTTCTATAAACCATGTTGTTCTAGAACAAAGCAAAATTCTATTTCCTAAGAAATCTGTGGTGCCACCTGGTGCTACCTCTGTGACTTTAGTCCCAGAGGGCCACCCTGCTCTGAATTCCAAAAGCCCCATACTGTTGAACCACAGTTCTTCCAAAGTGTTTCTCTCCAAGAACACGGCCAGTGTGAACCTAACTGCTAGTCCCCTTCAAGGCTGTTGTAACAAACCTGTCTTTATAAAGGGTGTGATAAAACAAGAACCAATGACTTGATACTCCTGTAATGGAACTGATTTCAAGTGAATTGCTGAAATTGAAGAATTATTGGATATGGTTTTTCACTTGATCTACTAAGGAAATTTCTTACAGTCTAGTTCAGCAAGAAGTATCCTGTTCGCACTCCTGAAGTGAGCTATGGAACAGAAACTTAAACAGAGCAGGGCTTGGAGTTTGTATGACTTTGTGGCAGCTGGGACTCGTAAGTGGCTAGGCAGAGTTATTTAAAAAGAAAAAAAAATGAGATACTTATTTCCACTTAGCTGAAGAGTAGTGCTTTCTTCACTAAGTGCATGGCTTTTATATTTTGTGAAGAGTGTATTTATTACACACTTTTGTGTCTGCTGGCACTAATGTAGCATCTTACAAATCAAATACTTGATTACTGAAGAATACAGAGAAAGTAGAAGCCGAATGAAATGGAGATACACTACAAATACATACATATGCATGAAACCACCTCAAATTGCTTGGCCACTGTCAATCTCTCTGTTCAAATTGTTATTGGACCTACCAGAGGATTGTGCTGCTTTTTTTTTTTTTTTTTTTTTAATTCTTCTGAATTGTTTTTTTTTCTGTGAGCTACGTATTTGTATTGAAGGTCTTTCTTTTCTTCTCATACTTAATATTTCTGGCTAAGATTGTGGTCATTCTGTCCTCCAAAGACAGTACTTGATACAAATTGTATCAAAATTGGGATCACTTCAGTTGTGCATGAACTGGGGAAAATGCTCACAAAAGAGCTGAGGACAGGCTTGTTCCTTAAATGGCAAGTAATGAGAGTTGAAGTGTTGTCTCTGTATGTGCTTATCTTGTGAGAGGTTTTTTGTATTTCCTCTCACCCCTTGCATTACATTTCATATTGTCTTTGCAGTATAGTCAGTATAGTTTTTGTCAGTATAGTATATAATTAACAAAAAGCACATCCTATTCTTCTCCACCAAACCCTACCCAAATATTGTTGTTTTAACTTCTTTAGATTAGATCACTATAATAAAGTGATACCATTAATAAATTTTCCATAGGTGATTTTTACAGGTTAGAAATTCTCAGGATAGTGGACATGAATTTTGTCAGAGAATTGGAATTGTACTTTAAAAGGCTCTTTCATGAAAGATGAAAATTAAAAACTAGGAGGGCTGGTCATTGTTCATTCTTAGTGAATCACACTTGAGAATCTAATTCATGGTTTGTCTCTACTATTCTGTGCCCCTGCCTTTGCAGGGAGATTGGACTAGATGACCTTTGAAGGTCCCTTCCAACCCAAACTATACCATGATTCTGTGCTATTATTTTGTTAGAGATTCTGATGAATCAAGAGATCTTTGAAATGGAAAACCGGTTATCAAATCACAAATTATATTAGGTCCACTTTGGAAGAAGACACAGTGTAGCATTTAAAACTGTTTTCCATTAACTAAATGGAATAAGAATGGTTTTATTCTTTTGAAATTCTGTATATGTGTGTGTACACAAACACACCCACACTCATATCTTGTGACAGTAAAGACTTTACTGGAAGTGTCTTCATTGCTCAGAGGTGGACATAGGAGAGAAAAATCCCAGCTGAAATATAAAAATGATAAGTTCTTAATTCTTTGGAGAACTTCTTTACTGGGAAAGAGTTTCAAATATTGAACAAGATTTATTGCTTTGTTATAGCCTGAACAGAGGACTTGATGCCCGACCTTTGGAGTTTTTGTCTTGGCTGATGATGTTTACCTTTGTGGCCTTGAGTAGGTTATTCATACGTATTGCATCAATTTTCTGAATTGTAAGACCAGCACAGAGTGTTCCATTTTTCTGATGGATCGTGTTAAAGGTTAAAAGGTTTTGAAAGTGCCATATATTCATCTCACATACTGTGTTCACAACCACTTTATTTGGTGGTCTTACAGTGATTGAGCTGGTTGATGAGATATAATTGTTAATATAAAAAATAATTCTGCACAGTCCTACACGTCCTTAGTTGCAGCATTAACTTACGACATCAGTGATGAGAGGAAAGAAATCGTGGATCCAGGATTATCATTTTCTTAAGTCTGGAGTAAATCAGATTAAAATAATAAAGTAATCATTTATAATGGCTAGGAAGAAGAAAAAGAAGAAACAGTTCTCAAACTACAAGAGAACTGTGCAAACTTACTCTATTCTTATTTTTATTAGAGCAACACAGATTTTCAAATCTTAGGGATTCATAGCATTTGTAATTCAGCCAGACTGGCAAATTTATTGTTTGAAGAGATCTAGTCTAAATTTTCACCATGATGGGTATGTCTTATTTAAAAACAAAAATTTTAAAAAATCCTGTTTTTGACTGGGGTAGTTGCTTGTTCCAGCCTACTGTGGTGAAAATTTATCCAGAAAAACAAGAGAAGTATGTTGTAAGGAGATGATTCTTTTTTTGTTCCCTCTTGCTGCATACTGTGGTCATACTGACCACATGCCCTGCTCTGGTCCTAACTGCATCTAGGTAACTTACTGTAACAGCATATTGTTTCATATTTTCACACAAATCTAGTTGGTAATTTAAATTGAAAAAGGGACTCTTTTGGCCAATCTGGACATGTCTCTGATTCTGTTCAATTATCATTTGGCTTCTAATGTTAACTTCACTCTGTAGCTCATAATTGGGTATTTCTGGTTTCTTACTGTTAAATTGTAATTCTGTTGGCACCAACTATACAATGTCCTCTCAGTACCTTCAGTTTGAACCTGATACTTCAAAGCTACTAGATGCAGTATTACTAGCTTTTTATTTTTGTATGGGAGAGCATTCCTAGTCTGGGCTGAAAGTGTTGCTTCACAAGAGCTGGGGTCAGTATTAACTAAATTTTCTGTTAATATTTGAATTAATTCTAACCTTCCCCAACTGAAATTTTTTTCTCCTGTTCCCCTTCCTACCCAAAGTGTTAAATGAATCTTTCCTACGTGTTTTTGCTTTCTAGAAAAACTGAAGTAGGCAAACAGGGTGATGTTTTCCTGCTTTTGCAACTTTGGCTGTGTGTACGGTAATATGGGAGCACAGTGTCTTCTTCCCCCCCCCCCCCTTTTTTTTTTAAAATTGTGAGATAACATTTCAGTTTAATCCTGTTCATTGCAGTACAGTTTATGCTGTGTGGACATCATGGATTTGAATTGCACTCCTCAGTACAGTATCAGCAGTGAACCTCAAACAGCAAGATTTCTGTTTTTTAAAAACAGATTAAGAACAGTTTGTCTAAACTTAAATTTAGACTTTGGCTGTAAACTTAATACAAAATTGTTAATAATAATTTGAAATTAACTTTAAAAATCCGAGTATAACATATACAGTTTGAAAGAAATTTATCAGCTGTCACTCTCGAATTTTATAATTAGATCTTTTCATAAAAATAGGAGTATTTCAACTGGGGAAAAAAAAAAAAAACAGCACTTAGCCTTAACTAAGGCAACTAAACTAATTTTTTAAATAATCGCTGCCATGTCATTGATTAAGTTCCATTTACATTGATGGAGATGACTGTGAAAACAGTAGAGAATGACTGGAAGTTTATATAATATAACCATATATTTAGGTTTGCATCTCCTTTTCATAATGAAGCTTTGGTCCTGGTTCTGTGAATCTAGAACTTGTGTTTTCTGTGCTTTTTCCTGTTAAATTTGAAATCTCTGCTGTTACTTCAAGGAGTACCCTAATTACTTTCTATTTTTATGAAGTTGGCACAGTACCTTACATTACATCTTACAGTATGTTAATTTTTGTATTGTTTTACTGCTATTTAAGTAATTAATCCCCACTGTAAGGTACTGTGATCGGCAGCATGGGAGATCTAGAAGGTAAATGTTATTCACTCTATGCACCTTCTCTGTGTCCCCAGAAGAGCTCTGTTGTGCACAGTGTCAAGTACCTGGTGGTATTGGAAGGATGCTTTGAAATTGAACGTGTTCTTGGCTTTGTTGTGGTTTTAGTCTGGTGCATCTCTTTGGTTATCCTGAACTATATAGCTTCTCAATAGTTGCATACTGTTTAGGTCAGAAAGTTTTCAGTAAGCAGCTTGGGCATATGATTTTGCTGTATGACTGCTTCTCTTTTTTCAGCCTTCCTCTCTTTCTTGTTTCAAAAGGAATGCCCACAGGGATATGGGAGGGGGCATCTTACTGTGTTTGTCTCTCAACTGAAGCTTTTTCTTGTGTACACAGAAACTAAAGGGTTGTTACTCAGTCCTGGTAATTTTACCAATGGCCATTCCAGTGCCTCAGATCCTAGAATTGCATTTCTGAAAACATGACAAGCACTTTTAATGTTTTGGCGTGAATGTTATTGTTACAGAGGCAAAGGCATTTTTAATTATATACCAGATCTTCAGAGTGGTTTCAAAGTATTTTATTATGAATCCCAGTTATAGATACAGGATTTATATATATTATATATAATATATAAATATAGGTATGGTGTACTGAGAGAATTTATAAAAGGAGCTTTTATTATGTTGTGACATAAAATAACAGTGAACAAATTTGAATGTGGTTGGATGTGTTAAAAATGGCTGGCATAAAGTCAGTCTGTTCAAGATTGATTATGTTATATTTATTAAAATACCAGGTCAGGTGAATAATCATTTCTTCCCTGCTCCAGGTGCACCTTATCCTCTTACGGAGCAAATCTTTCAGTGTAAATTTCATCTTTTCAGTTTATATTAGTTTAACAAAACACATCAGTGTCCTATCCATTTCCCATTGTTTCTGAGATACCTTGATTTGTTTGATTGAACTACAGTCTAATTTAAGCTTTTCCACTGACTATTGGAAACTCATCTGGTAAATGTTAATAAAGTACATTTATAACTCCTATCCCTTTACTTTGCAATGTGTAACAAACTTTGTGAATGTCAGTTGGGAAAAAATATGAACAAAGTGGGTATGTCAGCTTACAATTTATAAGCAGCTATTTATTCTATATTGTTGAAGCATTACTGATTAATATGTTTCTTGCATTTCATGGTTTTTGTCACTGAAAATAAACATACATAATTATATATGTAAAATGGGCTACTTGATTTGTGTCTCTGGAGTTATGTTTGCGCTGTTTAAAATGCAAATATGTTTCATCTGTGAGGTGGAACCTTTACCTGAGACTAATCAGAACTCTAAATTATAAAGATGTTAGCAGGAGGACAGTTTAAAAAACTAATTTAAAAAATCATCTGAAAAATTCTGGACAGGACTTGACATAGCTGAATTGAGTGGCTGTTGTAAGGAGCAAAATTCAAGTAAATCCATTCTTATATGACTTTTAAAGTGATTTGTCTTTCCCTGAGACTATATCTGTGCTACCACCTGCAGGTATTGAGAGCGGATTTCAGTAAGGAAATGTGTTTTGTAGGCTCCAGTTTGTCATTTGGGGCAAAAAAATTGAGACAATCTAGCTGATTATGACATTGTAGCAGGAATAGATTATAGCTTTTAAAAGCTGCATTATACTAATCTGAAAAGTATTATAAATATATTTACTGATCATCCAAGATGGCCATCCTACATAGTACTGTTGGGAAATTGTCAGGCTTTGGGGAAACAAGGTAGATGTTTCACCTTAAAAGGACAAGAACCACTAAAGAGGGGTATGTGTGTGTGCACACGTGCATGTATGTGTTTATTATATACCCTTTTACCTTTTTAACTGTTTGATTAAAGAAAAACAAAATCATAGAAGTAGAGAAATATTTTAACCATTGTGTTAAGTGTTCATTTATAGCTTTTAGTTGGAATTATGATTGCTAGTGCCTGAAAACAGCATTTCTGGCAGCCAGTCTCTCAGCCTTCTTGATTTATGATTCCAACACAGAGTCATAGAATGGTTTGAGTTGGAAGGGGCCTTAGAGGTTGTCTAGTTCCACCACCCTGTCATGGGCATGGACACCTTCCACTAAGTGAGGTTTCTCCAAGCCCTGTCCAACCTGGCCTTGAACACTGGCAGGGATGGGGCAGCCACACTCTCTGTGGGCAACCTGTGCCTCACCACTTACAGTGAAGAACAGGGGTATCAGAGCCAATGTCTACTGTTAGCACCAAAGAAATGAGAGGGTATATATAGAGAGAGTATTATATATAATACTTAGGGGTTACTAAGACTGGTTATTCATTTTTTCTATGCTTGCATTGTTCTTGTTCTATAGAAGGTGTTGCACAGTATCAATTAAGGGTAAGGGGAGCACAGCAGTCTCATAAATGCAATATGTAAAATGACAGTGAATAGTATTTGAGTACTGTATGTAACCATACACTATCAAAGCATGTATTGCAACCCTGTGAAATTTTGTTTGTGCAAACTGTGAACTTGGTAAACTGCTAACTTTACACCATTATCGTTCCCGGTTTTATCTTGGTAAGAGATGACAAATACATTTGGTACCTGGTCAAATAAATTTTCATTACAGCTTTGCAAGGCTGGAATAACTACTCCAGTTTTGTAGAAAATACTGCATTGGGAAAAATAGCTGTTTCAGGAGTGATAAGTGAGGTACTGAAGCAGTTAGTGACTGAAATAGGCTCAAAAATGTATTAAATAATTTCCACAGCTGTTTAGACTGTGCTTGGAATCTGTAGTTTGTATATGGATGACTAAAACCATGATATAGGCCTTATAATTATGCATACAAACACTGCATCACCACCCTCTCCACTGCTCCCCAAACATATTTTGAACATCACTCCCAATACTTTTTAAGATTGGTTTTGGTATTATATAACGCCTTGGAGCATCATGTATGATTGTGGTGATGTGATGCTTCATGGATTGTCTTGTTTTACAATCCCCCAGATTTTTTTCTGTTTTGTTACTGTAGAAACTGTGAATAATGAAGTTGTCTGCACTGTGTCAGTGTGCCACACGTAATCTTCAGAATTTAGATCTTTACTACCCTGGAATTAATTTTTATTTTGTACTGTATTTTTTTCTTGTTGCATTTTTTCCTCAATTTTCCACTATCATGTACTGAATTTTTCTTTTATGAAAAGCAGGTGGCATTATAATGAATAGCATTGTTATCTCTATGTGATGGACTGAACCGTGGTGTTACATAATACCAAAACTTTATTTTTTCTTACCGTATGTATCATTTGTGAATCACAACATCCTTTGAAATACCAACATCTACCTTTTGTTTTTTCATGTGGTACAATACCTGTGGCCTGTTGGCATGTGTATGCATGCTGTTATACACAATGGTGTGACAGGTAGCGTTGGTTGCTCACTCTGAGTTCTAGAAATTGCTTTCCAGTCTTCTTCACTAGTTTGCCGTTGGCATATGTATGCTGTGAGGTTGTAACTACTTCTTTGTGTTAAATTTCACAATTACAGTTATACCGGGGGATACTCCCTTTTCTCAACTTTGGGTCTACCATACGTGCTTTGGCCTGTAAATTCAGTCTCCTTTGTTGTATTTGTTGTCCTCATGGAATTGGAATGGCTTTTTTTTCCCTCCACCCCCATCTCTTTTTTTTCTTTTGCACTCTCTTTTCAAACTTACAAATTGATGAATCAACCTGATTTGCATCAGTGCTGGTCTGAAAAAGTTGCTGGATAGCAAAGTTAAGGTGATACTCTTCCACTACAGTGTATTTTACATCTCTGTGAAATGGTCTCAGCATGTGGAAAAACATAAAAATATAATAGCCTGTCTCAATGCCCCTGCTTTTCCAGAGGCAGATGAGGAAACTGCTTCTGAATTATTTCAACAGCAGAGTTCTTCAATCCTTCATTTTATTGCAGGACTGATTCCTTTCTGATTTCTCCCGATAAAGTTACTGTTGACTTGCATAGGTTAATTATTAGATAATGTGGTCAATGACATCTGGGTTATAGCAGCAGTCTTCCAAAAGGAAGTTATTAATTACAGAGCATTTACATTGGGTTTATTACATGTCTTAAATGTGATTCCAAATTTGGGTGACCCTGTTCACCGTATTTTTTCATTGTTAACAAGTTCCAGGATTTTTATTACTTTTAAGAATATTATTTGTTTTAAAAATTTCTAAAATATCCATATGGCATTGGTTCTAAAAAGTCACTGTGTAATTCTTTTCCTCTTCAAGGAAATCTGTACTATTGCTGCCTTTTCCTAGCACTTTTCCCCATAAGTTTATCTTTTTTGTCAGTACATCTGTTTGTCAGTACTTTATTTGTTAAAAATACTTCAGTGGATGGGATTCGAAGAAAGCAGATGTTATATTGTCATAGTATATACAGTGGAAAACGCATGAAATTCTGAATATAGGTCGTTTTTACCAATCTTTAATTGAAATCCCTGAAGTGTAATTACTGTAATATGAATATGTAAGAAGTGAAAGCAAAGTCTGTTTCTAGTAGTTGTCAAGATGGAAAAAAAAAAAAAAAGATTTTAAACTGTTAGAAGAAGAATCAGTACTTTTCAGATAACTTTTCAGCAAACATTTTGTAGCTAGTAGACTTAGAAATACCAATTTCCAATACAAATTTAAGTGAGAGAAATGCAAAAATTTGAATAATTGCATTCATTTTACACATACTTTTCAGTATTTTATCTTTCGTATGCACTATAAAGCCGTTTATGTTTAACTGATTAAGTGGAGTGTAGAACAGGTTATGACTTAGGCTCTGTTTCAGGACTTAGAAGGTTTCACTCAGATGTTTGAAAGAGATGAAGATTTAATGTTTTGGTTTTGCCCCTCTTATAGGGTCTTTCCGTTGCTGCATTCACAAACTATGTGCTTGGCATTAGAATTCTGCTGCTTCATGCTTGCCTGAGGCATTTGGCACGCAAGCACAGCCCAGGGGGAGTTATTTATTGGTAAATGCAGACGTGACTTTGCAGACTGAAAAAGCTGTAGCAGAGTGCCTGCTATTTGCCAAGATTTTCTTTAATGAGCACACTCTTCAAAACAGATCAAGATTGTAAATGTGAAGTGCCTTCTGCTTGGCTGGATGTTTCAGGAGAAATGTGCAACTCTGAGAACAGCAGGGTAGCATTACAGTACACGTGCACCATACATCTGTACTTGTGGTGATGCATGCTCAGCTGATGCTTGGCTTGTAGTTCTCTTTTCCCCTGCTCCCTTTTTCCCTCCTGCTCCCTTTTTTCTCCTTTATTTTTGTTCTTAATCATACCTTATAGTCCTCTTCCCCCATCACCTTGTGTTTCACCTTTCAATTCTGAACTGCATGCATCTTCCTTGGCTGGATCTACATTGTACTTCAGTATAAAATGTTCAGTTGTATCTTAATTGCAAATGGAATTTCACTGACCAGATGAAGAATAAAGATGTGGGTGTATTAAAATTCTCAGGGAAAGATGAAGTCTTGGGTTTTTTTCCTTGCTTTCTTCCTAATTTTTTTCATGTTTATCCTTAAAACTGTGACATTTCATAGCAGAATTTGTTAGTTTTAATTTTTAATTTAATTTTTTTGTTGCATTGTTTTGTGCTAGGATTGTTATACTCCTGGCTGCTATGTGACAGCAGAGAAATATTTAAAATAAGGCAGCTCAGCTGCAGTTGTGGTTACCAGAGTAGTTCAGTTCATGATACTGCTACTTCCAGGTTGTAGAAATTTAGCTCATCAGCTATGGATGAAACAGGTCCAAAATGGCATCATGCATGATAGTATCTTGGAGGATTTCTACTTACTTGGAGCTAAAGGCATATATGTTGATATGTGGGCTGTTAAGAAGGATAAAAAAAAGTTTGTTAGTTTACATTTCTTTTAAATCTCAATGTAAACTTTTTTCTGTTTGATTACTAGAAACTACCAAAATGCTGTTGTAAACAATCATATTGAAGTGCCACTTCTGGTTTGTTTGCAGACTGGTGCTCTAGTTCTGCCAAACGAAACTGGTTTGGGTGGTTGTGGTTTTGTTTGGTTTGAGGGTTTTCTGTAACTATGATCTTTACATAGAGAGAGATCACTCTGTGTTACTGTGGTTGTTATGTTTCTGTTCCATCTTTTTTGATATTCTAAGGTGACTGAACCTTCTGTTCAGGCTTGCTAGGCAATTTGTGGACTAAAGCACCT